TAATAGACAGTAGCCTACAACAACGTTTAAACGGGTGATATTAATAGACGTTGGTTTACAAAGGTATTTAACGAGAAATTTCTGTCTAATGCAGCTTCCTGTCTCAAGACGCTGTTTAAGATATGGTAACTGTCTTATATCCATAGTTGTGATAAATGTAGGAGAGAGGGAGAAAGAAAATAGAAGAGCGAGAAACAAAACGAAAATAAGAAAAGTGAGAAAGACAAAAAAGAAAGAATGTTATTAATAAAATGAGAGAAGATGAGGGACAGACAGAGAGACAGAGAGGGATAAAAAAAGAAGTGAGAAACAATGAGAGGTAGTGAAATAGAGAGAAAAAAAAGACGAACGAAGTGAGAAACAATAAGATACTGAGATAAAGATAAAAAAACAATATGTACGTGTCAGATGTGAGAGAATGTGTAGTTGGTATGTATGTTATCGTTTTCGTGTTTTTATGTTGAGGTAAAATTAATGTGAAAGGTCGTATTGTGTGTGTGTGTGCGTGTGTGTGTGTGTGTGTGTGTGTGTGTGTGTGTGTGTGTGTGTGTGGTAGATGCTAATAGATTGTGGTAGTAGGGTAATGGATTGTGGTGATGGTGTGGTAGTTCAAGGCAACAGTAGAAGACAGACAGGTAGACAGAGTAGTAATAATAGAAACAGACAGACAGACAGACACAAAGACAAACAGGAAAAAACGGAGAAAGCAATTGAGACGGAAATACCAAGCAATAAGCTAAGGAAAGGTAGTAATTTCACCCGACCCACACACACACACCTCTGGTCAGGAGTGTACAGTATAATGTGTACCAGTGTAGAAAGTCAGCCTTCAACACCGTGACCTTTTAGCCGCAAAATGAATAGTACTCCAGCTCTGATGACCACACGGGGGGGGGGTCACAGAAGGTGAGTTTTCCCTCGTGATTGATAGATAGATAGTTGATTATATACTCCAGTAATAGATATTTATTCAGTTAAATCGTCATACAAGTTTACATTGATTCAACAAGTATATAGACAGTGTAAGTATATTATGTGCATACCGCATATAGTGTAGGTATACAATGTACTTATATAATGCAGGTGTACAGTGTAGGGAGTCAGGCCTCGGGGAGTCATGTCTTGTTAGGGTCATTTTATAGGTATGACAGAAATGGTGTTTTATGAGTGAATGAAATATATAGTATAAAAAGTATTCCTTTTACATGGTTAAGACAGAATTTTTGTTGTATACTAGGTAGAATTGTTTGGAAGTAATGCGTTTTTGACAGGTCAGTGTTTTATATATCAAGAACAGCGTATGTTTACAATGTTAATTCCGATTTGCATTTCAGCCTTTCTGTGTATACACTGTGTGTATATATATATATATATATATATATATATATATATATATATATATATATATATATATATATATATATATATATATATATATATTCTCGTCAGTATTAAAGAATGCCATAACTTTACCCAACAATCTTATAAAAAAAATCCACGTGTGAAACAGTTAGTGTAATTTGTACTCGAGAAAAACCTTGGAGTGAACAGAGTGACGTAACTAGGCTATTGAGCAGTGGTGGCGGCGTTAAAAGGATCACAACATTTCGTTCTTGTACCAAGCACTTATGGGGTCCGACCTTCAACATAATTGTATATTTAACCTTGTAAGTACATCCTGTATTAACTAGAGGGTTATATAGATGTTTAACAACACTCTCAGGCAAGTTATAATTAGTGTTTAGTGGAAATTAGAGAGAATTAAGGTTTTACAGTGCGGGCCAGAACGAAGTACTCTGGGAAGATACCGTCGCCGTGTTCAGTTTCCATTTTGCTTCAGTTATGAGTTGGTGCAGTGTGTTGATATTTACGTCTGTTTACTACTACTCCTACTACTAAGCTTAGTTGTTGTAGTGTAAAAATATTTAACAACAACAACATTCAATAACTGGTAGAATCTCAGTATAATTTTGATACAATTTTGGAAGTTGTGAGAGAGAGAGAGAGAGAGAGAGAGTATATGTTTACTGCGTGTGTTTGGCTATCATCAAATACCCTTAACAATTTAGAAAGTACCTGCGTGTGTATGTATGTATATCTTATCATACATATTCGTGCTACAAAATAACGTACAATCATAATGTGCTTATTGGCTTGTGGTGGAAATTTTCCCTTGTAACTGTGTGCACGATTTAGGAATGATGGGGGGGGGGGAGTTCTTACAAATTCTTAAGATTTTTCTCTTCCTCTTCTGTACCTATAACTGCATTTGTATGTTATATGTATCTACCTTTACTATGTACCTAAATATATACTTGTATTTATATATCTTTACCTGTACTGTGTATTTACGTAATTATACATACATCTACATGTGCTTTATACCTTAAAATGTATACTTGTACTTACTGCATATATACATGCTGAGTACAAAATCCGAATCTGTGTCATATGTAGAGCATCCGGTTAAGCGCTGTGTGTGTGTTTGTGTTTTATTGGAGAAATATGGTTTGTTTTTCAGTAATGTGTCGGGTGTAGCGTACGGTTTAATTATGAAAACTCGAGTGGTCTTCAATTAAATGTTTTGCCGCCATCCGTTGCTCAGAACCATTATGGAGCGGAAACCAGAAATTTACGTAATAACTTGTATCATAATCTTAAAAAAATTATGAATTTTTAACGCAGCTAAACTAGAGTACGAAACTGTGATAACGAAACTGGAAGCCTTTGATGAGAGTAACGACGGCATCTGATTGGCTGCTTCGTTATCCAATATCATCTAATTACATTTACTTTTAAGATTTTTCACTTAGCTGTAACCATGTAACCAGACAGTTTAATATTATCACCAAAACCAACGAAAAAACTTGAGCCGTATCTCAGTTAAGTAATGTTTTTCCCACTAACGAGATAACAGAATGTGTTTATGTACGATAACCTATGTAATAAGTTATCCTCTGTAATAAGTTATCCTCTGTAATAAGTTATCCTCTGTAATAAGTTATCCTCTGTAATAAGTTATATTCTGTAATATCTCTACTACTTTAGAAAAGTGAGTTAGTTAAGATACGTGAGGCTCCAGGTTCCATATTTTAATGATCCATTATCTGCCACAGTCCGGTCTTAACTAGAATTCGCCAGTCAAAAATCCTAGCTGGACTCTTAAATAAAAATATTCGTGTGTTTTTAGATTTCATACGCATGCGCTGTTGTGGTGAGTGGCGCGTGTGTGTGTGTGTGTGTTGGCGTGTGTGTGTGTTGGCGCGCTCGTGTGTGTGTGTTGGCGTGTTCGTGTGTGTGTGTTGGCGTGCTCGTGTGTGTGTGTTGGCGTGCCTGTGTGTGTGTGTTGGCGTGCTCGTGTGTGTACATGCGTGCTCTGTGTGTGTGTGTGCTGGGTGTGCCTGCGTGTGTGCGTGTTGCGTGCCCTGTGTGTGTGTGTTGGTGTGCTCCGTGTGTGTGTGTGTACATGCTACCAGGTGGTGTATGATGCGTCAGTGTGTGTATATGCGCCTGTGTGGTGTGTGTGTTGGCGCTCTGTGTGTGGGGTTGGCGCGCCTGTGTGTGTGTAAGTTATGCCTGTGTGTGTGTTATGTGCTCGTGTGTGTGTGTTGGCGTGCTCTGTGTGTGTGTGTTGATGTGCCTGTGTGTGTGTGTTGGCGTGCCTGTGTGTGTGTGTGTGTTGATGCGTTCGTGTGTGTGTGTTGGCGTGTCTGTGTGTGTGTGTTGGCGTGTCGTGTGTGTGTGTTGGCGCCTGGTGTGTGTGCTGGCGTGCCTGTGTGTGTGTGTTGGCGTGCTCGTGTGTGTGTGTTGGCGTGCTCGTGTGTGTGCTGGCGCGCCTGTGTGTGTGTGTTGGCGTGCCTGTGTGTGTGTGTTGGCGTGCTCGTGTGTGTGTGTTATGCGCCTGTGTGTGTGTGTTGGCGTGCTCGTGTGTGTGTGTTGGCGTGCGCGTGTGTGTGTGTTGGCGCGCTTCACCGTCACTATGTCGTGGTTGTGAACGTATGAGGTTTCGTTATAGCCGTTATATTCGTTGACATTTGAATTTATTTGAAAATTTAATTTTTTTAGATTAAAAACAATGGGCATAGGTTTTTTGAGTCGATATATTCGTTGACATTTGAATTTATTAAAAAATAATAATTGAAGCGCTTTAGACAATTGAATAAATGTAAGTTAATGTTTCTTTTATGTTAAATCCGTTATTTTCATTGAGATTTGAAATTATTTTATCTTTCAATACCGTTATATTCGTTAACATTTGAAAGTTTCTTTTCCGTTAGAATCGTTATATTTCTTGACATTTTCATTTATTTTAAAGTAATGTAAACAGTAGACAAACAGATGTGTATAACCATATTTTTTTATCTTTAGAACCGTTATATTCGTTAATATTTGAAATTATTTGAATATAACGAATCAATATGACACTTCAATACGTTGTGGATTTATAAACGACGAAGAGAAAGTTGAATAACATGTAAGAAACAAAATAAGCAATAAACAAGTAAAATTAAGTTAAGTGAACAAAGAAAATACTGAATAACGATGAAGATGATGAATAAATATAATAAATAAGGAAAATAGATAAATAGTGAATGAGAAACGAGTGAAATATTGAGTTAGTTTTGAAATAAGAAAATCAAATTAAAGATGAAGAACAAGAACTAATAATAAAAGTGGAATAAAGGAAATGAAACAATGACTGAAAAATAATATAGAACAAATAAATGAAAAAATAATAACAAAAAACATGTAGAAACAAACCAATAATAAAAACCCAGAAATAACAATAAACTCGAAGTGAACAAGAAAAGAACAATGAAGAACAACAACAGTAACGGACGCAGTAGGAGTGGGAGCAGCCGGAGTGGGAGTGGAAGCAGTGGACGGAGTGGGAGGAGTATGGGAGGAAGGAGTAGGAGTGAGGGAAGGAGGGATTCTCACCTCACTCTCGATTCCTTGTGTACTTACGAGGATGGAGAGGGAGATGCCATCTTTAACAGGTGAGTGAGTGGTGGAGAGGGGGAGGGTTGAGAGGGGAAAGGGGGAGGGTTGAGAGGGGGGAAAAGGGAGGAGTAGAGAGGAAGATTAAATGGTGGGGGAGGGGAGCGTTAAAGGAGGAAGAAGGAAGGGCAGAATACTGAAAAGGGGGAAAAGGAAAGAAGAGGGAGTGAGATGGAGAGACGAAGGGAAAATAGATAAAAGATTAAGAATGAGATAGTACAATAAACACATCTCTCTCTCTCTCTCTCTCTCTCTCTCTCTCTCTCTCTCTCTCTCTCTCTCCCTGAGCCTCGTAATAGGTAAATTGATCTCCTGATACACGCGGTTGTTGACCCAATTCGCTCAACCTGATGACTTTAGGCTCTGGGGGAACTTGCGGCCCTGTGCTCTATATTCTAGTGGCCCTGTGCTCTATACTCTAGTGGCCTTGTGCTCTATATTCTAGTGGCTCTGTGCTATATATTTTCGTGGCTCTGTGCTCTATATTCTAGTGGCTCTGTGCTCTATATTCTAGTGGCTCTGTGCTCTATATTCTAGTGGCTTTGTGCTCTATATTCTAGTGGCTTTGTGCTCTATATTCTAGTGGCCCTGTGCTCTATATTCTAGTGGCTCTGTGCTCTATATTCTAGTGGCTCTGTGCTCTATATTACCTGAAGAGTATATAGCTCAGCTCGATAATATCAACTGTATATAGGTCTGCTGCTTCATCTACTAAGTTATAGATCCCAGAGTCAGGAGGTGGGGGGGGCAGGTGACCCCTGCCGTTGGGTCCCGGTAAGCATGTCGGTCTGTCGGTCTGTCTCCGGTACCGTTAGTTTATAGGTACTGTCTGCGGTCTTTTGGTAGGTACTGTCTGCGGTCTTGGGGTAGGTACTGTCTGCGGTCTTGGGGTAGGTACTGTCTGCGGTCTTTTGGTAGGTACTGTCTGCGGTCTTGGGGTAGGTACTGTCTGCGGTCTTTTGGTAGGTTCTGTCTGCGGTCTTGGTTTAAATACAGCAGAGAAGAGTTACGTTCCCCTGTCTGTCTGTCTGTCTGTCTATCTGTGTCTGTCTGTCTCTAATCTCTTACAGTCTGTACGTTCGTCTGTCCTTGCGTCCGTAAGTTGTCAACACAATAACAAATTACACGTAAGATCCCAACAAAGGTCTGAGACGAGGTCGATAATTCAGCCATTTACGTCATTATTGTCCACATGATGTCATTATTGTTTATATGACGTCATTATTGTCCATATGACGTTATTATTGTCCATATGACGTCATTATTGTCCATATGACGTTATTATTGTCCAGATGACGTCATGGCGTGAGGAGGGAAGGGGTGGGGAGGGAACTTTTACTGCCAAGCTTGTTTTTGTCAGTAGATGAGGGGTGATTTACAGGTTAGGGGTGATTTACAGTAGGTAAGGGGTGATTTACAGTAGGTGGGGGTGATTTACAGTAGGTAAGGGGTGATTTACAGTAGGTGGGGGTGATTTACAGTAGGTAAGGGGTGATTTACAGTAGGTGAGGGGTGATTTACAGGTTAGGGATGATTTACAGTAGGTGAAGGCTGATTTGCCAGTAGGTGGGGGTGGATTTACAGTAGATGAGGGGTGATTTACAGGTTAGGATGATTTTACAGTAGGTGACAAGTTGATTTATAGTGGTGGGGGTGATTTACAGTAGATGAGGGGTGATTTATTAAGTGTTTAGGGATGATTTGCTAAGTAGGTGAAGGTTGATTTACAGTAGGTAAGGGGTGATTTACAGTAGGTGAAGGGTGATTTACAGTAGGTAAGGGGTGATTTACAGTCGGTGAGGGGTGATTTACAGGTTAGGGATGATTTACAGTAGGTGAAGGTTGATTTACAGTAGGTGGGGGTGATTTACAGTAGATGAGGGGTGATTTACAGGTTAGGGATGATTTACAGTAGGTGAGGGGTGATTTACAGTAGGTGAGGGGTGATTTACAGTAGGTGAGGGGTGATTTACAGTAGGTGAGGGGTGATTTACAGTAAGTTAAGAGATAATTTACAATAGTTAAGAAAAGGAATGTTTATTTACACCATTTCCAGTAAGTAAGGTAAAGACCTCTTAATGCCTCCACCTCTCCAGGCCCTGATCAACGACCTCCCTTATCCCGGGACTCTACAGGTCCACGTTAAGCCTATTAGCTGAGTCTAGAGTGAAGACCCTGATTATGTTGGCTCATATAAAGGTCCCCCATTAATCCCCAGCCTCTCCAGACTCCCTGTGGGGTGTTCCTCCTTCGTCAGTATTGTAAGACGTTGGCAATCTTCTTCCTCCTTCGTTAGTATCGCAACACGGGGTCGTTAGAGTGCTGTACGGCGTCGCCTGGGTGACGTTGTACTACCGCCCCGGATGTTCTGGCACCGTGACAACATCCGTGGGAGATGACGGGGCCGTCCGTTTGTTCGTCCGTCAGTCCCTGCGTCAGTGAATTGTGCCAGATGTCATCCGTGAAGGGGGAGAGGTGGTGAGAGGGAGAGAGAGGGAGAGAAACTTGGGATAATCAGACAGACAGAACCTTTTGACGGAAACCGAACACACACACACACACACACACACACACACACACACACACACACACACACACACACACACACACACAAACACACACACACACACACACACACACACACACACACACACACACACATGGAGGTTTGTTATATACATGGAGACAAATATGAGCTGACCTCTCAAACCCTTCAGTGAGGGAATGAAGATGAGTGTAGGAAGGAGAGGTTAAGCCCTTAGTGAGGAAAGTGAGAGAGAGAGAGGGGAAGTTGGTTTCATGCGGGGGGTGAGAATGAGGGAGAGAAGGAGGTGCTGCTTCCCTCCCTCCTCCACCTCCCTCATTCCTCCCCCCATTCCCCTTTTCTTATCTCCTTCTTCCCTTTTCCTTTTCCTCCCCCCTCCCCCACTACACCAGCTGCACGGGTCGCTCCACATATGACCATCTTTCAGGGGTCAACTTCAACGTGACCTCTGACCTCCTCCTTATCACGGCGGGAAGGAAGACGAGGAGGAAGTACTAATAAGGAGGAGCAAGTGATGGGAGGGAAGGAATGAGGAAGGAAACAAGGGGAAGATAAGGAGGAGCAGGGGAGAGAGAGAGAGGAGGAGGAGAAAGGAAGAATTCATAGTGGAGGGAGAGGCACTAGGAAAGAGAGGAGAGAGTAATGAGCGAGAGGAAGTGAACGAAGGAGACAAGGAAATCGAAGAGGCTTTGTCTTAGTGGATTATAAGGAGTTAATGAAGCTTGGGTGTACTCTATCTCTCTCTCTCACTGTTCATTCATACTCTTTCCCATCCCCCTCCTACCTTCCTCCTCTCCGTCCCATCATCTCTCTCTCTCTCTCCCACCATTTCCTGTTCGCCGGAGACACTACTCGTGCCAACAAGTATCGCCAGACGAAGTTTTTGTCAACATGTCTGAGAGTGAGGGTGTGGTGGTGATAGTGGTGGTGATAGTGGTGGTGATAGTGGTGGTAGTCGTAGTGGTGGTAGTCGTAGTGGTGGTGGTGATAGTGGTGGTGGTGATAGTGGTGGTAGTCGTAGTGGTGGTGATAGTGGTGGTAGTCGTAGTGGTGGTGATAGTGGTGGTAGTCGTAGTGGTGGTGGTGTCAGGTCATGGGGGCGGAGGAAGATCTGTATTTTACTCTGATATTTACTGTAGCTGTACCGTAGATTGGTTAGGTTAGGTTTCTTTTACTATCTATCTAACTCTGCACTGTAAACAAAGTACCTGAAGACCATGTAAACAGTCATGGTAAAATCTGTGTGTTTGTTTAGTAAAGTTTTAATTGGTTTTATTTTGAAATGTTTTGAAGGTAAATTTACTTCTGCAAAAATAACTTCATCAGTGTAATGAATACGTGGACACACACACACGTGCACACACACACACGCAGAGGAAGACCCACACGACCTTTCTGTCGGCTTCCGGGCGTAGTATTAACTTCCAAAGTTCCAAGTGGACCAGACACGCGTCCCGCCCTGGGTACCACACGCCACTGAAGGTTACACTACACTGACGAGCTTCACACCGATGAGGCTCTTCTTTGGGTACCACACGCCACTGAACATTGATCTAGGGAGAGCTATATGGCTTCTCTAGTACCATACACTGTTGAGAGGTTCACACGGGTGGGGATCCTGGGTACTGCACTCCACTGAATGTTTTATTGTTTATTGGATTTATATCGGTGGGAAACTATTGTGGGGGCGACTGAATGTTGGTGTGTGTGTGTGTGTGTGTGTGTGTGTGTGTGTGTGTGTGTGTGTGTGTGTGTTATAGTAGAGAGAACGACACACACACAAAATAACCTCCCCTCCCACACACACATACACCGGAACCAAATAAAAGAGCCATAATAACCGCCCCTTGAGGTAGTTGCACTCCAAACAAAGAAGGTAATTAGAGTATAACCCGGGTCGTTAAGGTCATTAGTGCCTTGTGTGTGTTGCTGGTTAATTGGACGATAATAACGGGTGATTAGTTAATGGATTAAAGCAAGGAGGATGTTAGTGTGTGTATGTATGTATGTGTGTGTGTGTGTGTGTGTGTGTGTGTGTGTGTGTGTGTGTGTGTGTTCCTCCGAGTCATACAGTACACAATACACCTGGGTCCTGTGTTACATACGTCCCTCTTATACTGTACCTGTGTGTGTTGGTAGTATTGATAATGATGATGATGATGATGATGATGAGTGGTAATGATGATTGTCTCTGGTTCAGTTCGTCTTACCCAAGCGTGTGTGTGTGTGTGTGTGTGTGTGTGTGTGTGTGTGTGTGTGTCTCATATTAACAATAAGTCACTGACCATGTATTAAAACCACATCCAAGCGTGACAGTTTTTTCATCATATTTGTGTCTTGATACAGTGACGTTATCCCCAGTCATTGTGTGGTAAAGGTTATCTGACTGACTGGTGACTGTCTTGTCCAGGGGAACTAGACCGTTTAATTGTGTGAGTGTATGTGTGTGAGAGA